ATTTCAGTGCAGACAGAAAATTGTTTTTACTTTGAGCTGGTCTTCCTGGGAGCTTTTATGATTTGAAGTTGTGTACTTGCACAACTCAGAGGAGAAAATGAATACCTACCACAGAGATGGTGCTTTCTTTAGCTGCAGGAATATGTCAGCGAGGCTCCCAAAAGCAAACACAAACAAGCTTTGGACTGCAGGCTCGGTCACCGGGTTCAATAAAAAACTTTTTGGCCCAATCGCTGGTGAATTAAAGCTCTCTTTTCCACTTTTTGTGGAATAAAGATTTATTTTAGTAGACTGCAATTCATCTGAGATCGATTATTTTCATGTCTGGCTCTTGCTGAAGTATACGGACATGCTTCGACTACCCAAAAGGCTCCTGGTTCATTTGGCCTTGAAACACATCTTCTATTTGCTGTAATTAGTGTTAGCATAAGTATGAGAGTCCAGGCATGTGTTTAGCTCCGTCCTCCTGAGTAATTTCACTCGGATCCACTAACCGCAGCACCTTGTCTCCTATGATTTTCTCCGAGGATTAGAGGACGTTTTGAGTCACCATGTAGAAATCTGCAAAGCTCACGGCATCACAACCGTACCGCAACAGAGCTGAGGCGGCAGATTTCAGCATTTGCATGTTCCAATATAGACTCCAGTAACATTGTTAAGTTCAGGAGTTCATATAAAAGCTAGTTTGTAAAGTCATGTTTGGTGAGATGTAGATATTCTGTTTTGAAGTCACTGTAATGATAAGGCAGAAGTTAACTTTGGTTTGCTCAAATCTGAACCATGACTTTAACTTGAAACCAAAGGAGTTATAATCACAACATATCAAACATAAATACACAAAACTTAAAACAACTATAGACATAAAACACTGCAAAATAAGATAGAAAATGTAGTTTCTTCTTGAGAATAACCAACAGGGCCCTTTATACAGAGCAATACAAACTGCTGCATACCCTGCAGGTGCACTGTTACTCATGTGTGGCACATTTCAGATAGTATAGGAGGCAATGTCCCCTGAGGAATCCTGCAACCCTGATCATAAATATGGCCACCAGTTCAGCTCCGCTCACAGCACCTTATTTCTCTGGATCAGCAAAATGGATAACCAAGCCTGACAGCTGGAGCAGACGATTTGGGTGCTTTCTTTAAAGAGAGTATATCGAGAGAGTCTTTGTGTTTTGTTTAAACTTTGAGTTGCTGCCATCCTTGGCCAGGTCTTTCATCTTAATGGGACTCACATGACTAAATAAAAGTCAAAACTTTTGAATCTATTATTATTAGGAGTGTGTGATTTCCATTTGCGGAAAGTGCACTCAAGCAAAAACAATGTCCAGTGTGATTTTACCTCCAACAGATTACCTCATTTAAGACAGATGTTTAATTTTCTAAGTAGGCTGAGGGTTTAAATATTTAAATAATTCAAATAAAAAACATCACAATGCAGACTAAAAGCCTTGAAAGTGTGGTGTCTTTTAAACTGTTGATCACAAATCAATAAACAAAGTAAATGGATGCATTGGTCAAGCTAAATTAAACTGATTTGTCGCAGCAGGAAGCAGAATGAATCACATTTTACTAACCAATCAAGACGTGTGGTTAATACACGGCCTGAGCACCTCTGGAAATAGAAATGAGGCACTAAGATAAACCTTTATTTTTCCTATATTTAGGAAATTTGTATTATATAACGACAGGGAAAATATCTTTCTTCTTATGTAGTTTAAAGCTCCTGTGAAGAAGCAGTCACTGCTCATCTTGTCCTCTGCACGCTTGAGCAGCATCATCTGACAAAAACTCTCATCCTGCTGACTTTTTAGGGTCAAATCTATCATTTTTTTGTTGAAAATTTAATGCTGAAATTGTAGCTTTTGCCTTAACATCTTCACTGACACTAACATGCACTGGTTTTAGGCATTAAAAAATACAGTATAGAAATCCTCAATCTTATTGCGCTTTTATATACCATCATTTACATAAATGTAAACAAAAATCCTCACAGGAGCTTTGATACCGCAGCCACACTGTTATGTCTTAGTATCAGTCAATGCTTGGTTGAAACCTGTCCTTTTACTATATATATAAAGAAGGTTATAATGTGGATTTCCTGTGTTCCAAAATGAACACAATCTACTGTGGATTGTCATTACTGAAATGTGAAATCTGGACTTCTTACTCACAGCAAAGTACACGGCCGTCTGCACGCATCCCAGAATACAGCACTGACCATTGAACACAGGCGTGGGTGTTCCCCCGTCTCTTTGTTTACACTGGTCACTACGCAGCATTTGAGTGTCCTGATAACAATGCGACCAAACAGCAATCAAAGGCTGTAGATCATCAAACACCTTACAGCCATAAAGAGTGATAAAGACACAGAGAAGCAGAGATGACTAACGGCAGAGACAGTTCGTCGCCTGGGCTGGCGATTAGGAGTGTGTATTGAGCCGCAAACAGTTATCACATACTGACCATACCTTATTAATGCTGCACCTTAGATCATTCTGTCAGACCAGACATTATCTTATCCAATATTGTTCGGCTGTTTATCCTCAGAACAATTATGTCTTGTAGCCTCTTGCCACAGGCCAATCTTTCATCTACAAATCCACTAGGCAGCTATTTGAGTTTAAAACTATAATCAGTAACTGTCTTCCTTATTTTCTGGTCTTAGTGGCCTAATTGTTTGGACTGTGGGTGGTTTAAAATAAATGGATGTAATTACCTCTGAGTGGTTATTACTGATGCTTCATGTTACACTCTAGCAACAGCAAAATGAGCAGCAGGGGTTGTTTGGATTGTAAAATCCAGTGAGGGGAAATAACACCAAAAGTCATGCCTAATTGTTTTGTATGAAAAGTGCATTGAGTAAAAAATGATTAACTCCAGGAAATCAGTAAAACACTCCAGCAAGACTAAATGATCATTTATTCATAATTTATTTTCCTTTTTTTGCAATTTACTGAACAATACATTCAGTCATTGTTGTGGTTTAATTATATAAACTTTATTTTAATGCTCCAGGGCAACTTTAGGCACAACTGGTTTGATAAACCTGTAATATCACTTGAACACAATCCAAACTATGTAAAGTTGCATATCAGCGTCAGTCCAGTGCTTGTGTTATTTAGGAAATTCTGTGGAAGGTGTGGTGGGACACACGTGTATGTTGAGTCATAATTCTGAACTTGTAATGCAAGTAACTTCCAGGGCAACTCCCACACCAGGAACGAAAAAACTATTCACTAACTAGTACGAATTTACTTAACATAAATCGTGGTCTTTAGCTGGTTTGTGCTCTACCCTAGTGATCTTGAGTGCTCTATTCAACCCATATTTGCTCTAGGAACGTTACTTTGTATCTGAAATAGCCCCCTGACCTTTAAGGCAAACATTGCTTCTTTTGCTGTCAATTTTCTTTTTCTGTCTTTCTTTGCAGCTGAAATCCACTCAGAGATGTATGCAGCCCCATGCACTCATTAGTAAGCCATTACAAATATCCCTGCACATCAAATAGTGCACCATAAGTATTCATATCATGAAGCATTAGCGTCTCATAATGAGATAAAGGGCAGGGAACATTTTGAGGGTTTTGAGTGCTAATTAAGGGCCAAATCTAAAATGTGGTTTCATACTTTAGAATATAGAATTGTGGAAACACTTATTAATCCTATACTCGCTGGACTGTGGCCTTTAATTGACCCTGACCTCAGTGGCAGATCCAGACTTTTTTGAGGGAGGCCGTTTGAATATGTCATGCCCAATAATGAACAAATTACCAGAACAACATCTACTGCCATATTTACATTATTTAGACTAGGGGAGAGTGGGGTAAGATGAGCCCTTTTTCATATTTCGGATCACTACATCAAGGCAATCATAGTTTTGTCTCTAACAAGTGTATCGGCATATATTTCGAGATGTTGTGCATCACTACAAACCAACAGAATGAGTGTAAACATAACTGTCTTGATAATATAGCATGCCAAAAAAAGTGGTCTCCTATGGTCAACTTATCCCCTGTATGAGGTAAGTTGACCATAGGAGATCATAAGAACCGTATCCCTACTACCCCCTACTCTCCACCCCAGCCCTCCCTCACCTTCTCTTTCCCTAAATATCAGTCACTTCTTCACATTCATGTGTATTTTTATCTATTATACGCTATTCAACTGGTACAATAAATTATTTTTATTGTTTTTGCATATAACAGCTAAAAAGCTGTTTTGTAAAAAGTCATTTTAACATGAGAATGCCTTTAAGTGATTTAGAACATTCACAGTTGTATTTTTGAAAAGAAAAAGTAACACATTTCAACAATCTGAACTGAAACTCTGATCCTCTCATCAGACTTCTTTACTTTCCCAGTTGAGACACTGGTTCAACTTACCCCAGAACTACTATGATGACTTCATTAGTCCTCTAAGCTAAAATGGTGGACTTTTATGTTGTCATCTTGTAGCTCATAGATACCACAACTGATGGATAAAACAAATTTAAAATGATCTTTTTTTGGTTTCACTTTCAAGGGTGAAAAATGATTTTTTTTTTTTTTTTTTAAATAAATGTCTTACTCCCTCACCCATTAGCTTCTAACCTTCACAGACTCCATGAATTGATGCCCATCACCTGAATATTTGGTCACATGATCAATTTCTTTTACCATTTCCAAGCAACAAGGGGTGGCTCAACTTAACCTTTGGCTCAACTTACCACTGTCCCTTACTGGGGTGTCCAATCGATTTTTAAGGGTATGCTGCCACCACTGGTCAGTCTATTGGGTACGCCCCTGTAGGACCTACCTCTAGGATCTGGAAATTTGCATTGCATTAAAATAAGACCATAAATGATTAGTTTGTTTCCTAAGGAGCCGTTTTAGGATTGATTTTTATTTGTTTTGCCCAAGAGAGCCCTAATCCTCCATTCCTATAGGTGTCACTATAGTCGGCCATCCCCCTCCCCTTCCACTCTACTCCTCCTCCTCCTCCTCCCATCTACCAAACCTCCGCGAAAGGGTGTGCGTTTTGAAGGTTGTATGAAGCTAAACACCACAACAGAACGACTCACTCCTCACTTGGTTGGACAACCCGGGACAAAACCCTTTGAAGCTGAGGCGGAGCACACCTCAGGTCTTCCCTCATCCTCCCTCTGGAGCGGAGACCCCGACCAAGGTCTTGTCCTCCCGGGTACACGCGGTGGAAATGCGGCATACGCGGACAATTACACCTGAAAGTTTAAATACATATGGTACACGGCAAAATGCAATGTGGCAGCTTTGTGGCTTCTCTTCAAGGTCAGTGTCTGAACGCCGCCGCCTCACGGACGAGTGTCTTGGGCAGTGAGGAGGAAGACGAGGCGTGGAGGGGATGCCGCTGTGTCTCGCTCGCCTCCAGCATCAACAGTGACATCTTTCACCGACGGGGACACTGGTAGCCGCTGTCGGAAAACTTGTGAAACACCGCAGTGAAAACATTTAGGAGAAGTTTGACATTTACAGCACTCCTGTTTTTGTTGGTGTGTAAAGAAAGTCAGTCCAGCATTCTGACATTTCCTGCTTTCTTTCACCCGACCGCCCTGTTGTTGTTAAGACGGTTTTACCTGTGCTACAAAAACGACTGAAGCCTGGCTAACTGACAAAATGGATGTTGAGTTCGGTTTGAATTAGTAGAACCGACCGTTGGTGACGGTTGTGTTCGACGGTTTGTTCCAGCGTTACGAAGTTTAAACCGGCTCAGCCCTGAACAACTTTTCATGAACTCGCTTTCTTTAATTTTCTCCTTCGTCTGAAGTTAGTTTTTGTTTCTCAAAATGCCTTCGGGGGCAGGTTCACACAACCCAGCCGGTATCGGGAGGAGTTTGCCGGAGCGGGGGCTTCTCCTGCTGATGGTGTTGGTGTTTCTGGAGGGCTCCGTGCTTCCTCTCGGAGCTGCCAGCTCTCCGGATATCAGACACCAGGAAAATGTAGACAATCACAAAGCCGCAGACCCAGGACACAACTTCACTAAAAAGGCCTTTCCTGTGCTCGACCTCGACTACAAACACATACAGACTCCCTTTGAAATCTCACTATGGGTGCTGCTAGCTTCTTTAATGAAATTAGGTGAGTATCATAGAGAAAAGTCACGTCGCTTCTGTGTTGTGTTAATGTTGCTCTACCAGGAAATGCTAGCTCTGGGTTGGGTTATGTGGCCTCTACTACAGGTGTTGTTAAGCAGGTATATGATGTCAGTTGTACTGATGCACCATTTACCTCCATATCAAAACAAACAGTCTATTTTTAGATCCTAGCCACATGCAAAATAAGAGGACAGTGATACAGGGGAGTGTGTATTAATCAGATCAGTAGAGATATCCCCTCTGAGATCATCCTCAAATATTTAGGCTGTGTCATGAATCAGATTACATGCATGCAAATATGTCCACTCACAGGCCTGCAATGACTGACAGCTACTATCTGGCCTCAAGGTTGACATGGCTGCTCTTTTCTGTTTACTAATTCGAGCTGCTCTTGGTATGCTGCTGATACTACAAGCTTGACCAGAATGCCTTAATTTGATTATTGAGTCAAGAGAAAATCTATCATCATGTTGGCACAGATTACTCATCAGATCTGTAAGCGTCACATGGGGGGGTCTTTTGCTGGGTTTGTACTATCTCTGTGCTTCAGTGATGACTAAGCAGCTTGATGCAGCAGTCTGGATTTTGGACAGCAACCATTATGTTGCAAGATTTCATCACAGGGGAACCTCCTGTTCTGTCGCACCGTTTTGTGTTAGTAAAGCTTTGCAGCATTGTCATAAAGGATGCAAACTCATGGAGAGCCATTTTGGGATTTTAACTGAAGACGGCTGAAACACTTTTGAAAAGCTCTCCCTCTGTTGCTGTACTGTTTCATTTTCCTCTCTTTGTTGAATCATAACTCCCATCAGTCCTCTCCTTGCTTTGTGCTCTCCACAGATAACTGCTTTTGTCCTCCCCTGTTGCATTTCATTAAGAGACAGCAGCTTGTCAAGTTGCCTGCGGCATCAGGGGCCCAGTGGACAGGATAGGATGCTTCTTGGCTATTTTGGCAAGAAGCCTAGTTAAAGAGAGACCACCTGGCTCTGATGGCTTTCTGTTTGGACACAGCTCAAGGGCATGGTTTGGAAATGAGAGGTAAGGGTAAGGAGAGAGCTAGAGAAATGATGGAAGTGTGGCAAACAGACGGAAGGCAGAAATAAGTGAGCTGACACCAGCAGAAGCAGACAATGGTGACCTTAAGCCCTCTGATTATCCCCTGACTGCTGTAAATGGGTTGCGGATAATTCAGTGTGTCTGCTGCTACACTGCTCATAGTTGGACCAGCGTCTGATTCATGCTCACAGTCGGTTCTAATAGCTTAGGAGCCTGAGAAAGCGTCATCAGTCCATTTATCTCCCAAGCAGCACTGTCTCTGAGAATGGTGCCTTCTTGACCTTATTTTAAGAGACTTTTTTTTTCTTGAACTGGTTGTACCCGGTGCGAACACTTTCTATTTAAATCACAGTTTAGTGGATGTTACCCACTCTGTGTGGTTTAGCCTTGAGTCGATGACACATTCTCTCCTTTGGCTCCAATAATTGGGCTATTTACCAAAATTACACAGGCAGAAACATTCATTTTTAACCCTTATGAGACTGTTAGTGACACTGAAAGCTTGGTAAACAATCATCGTGAAATAATAAAGAGTTTTGACCCTGCGTTCAGAGGAAGGGTGTGTTTGAAAAGATCCGTTAAGTCATAATCAAGACGAATTAGCCTCTATCTCGCCAGGGATCTGAATGACTTTGCCCCACATCCATTGTGTGGGTTGTTGTATCCCAAGAGGCACTCATAAACAAGACAGTTGAACAACAATGAGAACACTGTAGGGAAGGTTGTAATGTTTACAGCTACTTCAAACACACCCGGCACTCGCTTCAAGATTGACCTTCCTGTTAGATTAGCCCTGATAGTATTTCATAGTAACACACGAGAAGGAGATGAGACACACTTTCTGGTACTCTGCGTTTGTGGCCGTGAAGCCCCTCCCTCCAAGGAGTCTCCTTGTAACGTGTCTGACAAGTCCAGTTAGTCTCACCTTCCATTTATTATTCACAACTGGGCAAACAGTTTGAAGACATGGTGTGTGTTACTGCAGGATGAAAACTGCTCATCATTACTCACAAGGGAGCTTTTGTTTGACTACAGTTTTAGCCATAAAAGGAGTTAGAAAGCAACTTAAATCTACTAAACGGAGTCAAAGTGAAGTGAAAATTGTCTGTTTTTTCAATTTGTTTGGTAATATAGAGTTATTCAAAACACTGCAGACTAGGAAAGCATATTTGGCCAAACTTTTCGGACACTGTTCATCAGATTCAGTCCAGTCCAAATGCATTTAAAAATCACATTTAAAAACAATCAAACATTCATAAAATAGCCTAATACACGTGATGAAACAGAGGCTTCATGTTGCTGGATTCTGACATAAAAATGAAAAGGATTTGATACAGCAGAAGCATTTGAGTCACGAGGATCCTCTTAGAAGTGCTGAATTTTTATTACTGTTTGTAGAAGATATTTTGGTAGTGCAAATATAGAACTGAACTAGCTGGTACCAGGCATGCTTTCTTCATTGTAACCAGGCTTTCTTGACAATCACAGACAAGCACTTAAAGTTGGTGGGAAAAACTGTGTGGTTATGCAGATGTTCAAAGAGCAGTCAGGTCATTTGTCATGTTGTGCTTTTGCAGTCTACTTCCCATTTAATTTCCTGCTAGATGTCACGTTTGGGTCTGTTTTTTTTTTTTATAAACAGCTGTATTTGCACAACTTTTAAGCTGCTGTTTGAGAAGATCTTTTTCTTTGAGGACAATTGAGCTATCTATCTGTTTAGACAGCAGGAAGGGACATTATTGGGAAGGCAGATGACTGCTGTACGTTCATTCATTCTGGGGTCATTCTGGGTTCAGCCACAGCCGTGACTACGAGCGTGCACACTATGAAACCGTGCGCTGATAAAAATGTCTTTCAGTCTTTGTTGTACTGTAAGATATGACACACATTCAGGTAACTGAAGCAAACCTAGAGTGATAGTTGGAATATGAAAATGTATTGTCAGCAGCTGGTAATTATTGAGTTTTTGTGCCAACTCCTTTTACTGGCTCTGATTTTTACACCTGAGGATTTAATTACCTGTTGTTCATGTTTTGACTTGTAATAATGAACTCTAATCTGCAGTTTGGGATCAAGAGTCAAACTGCTCGGTCTAATTTTCTCAAAGCCATTATGTCTTGATTAAAACTATTCAAGGAGGCTGCAGCTATCTAGCTTGATTGTTTACCAGGTCAGTGCTCCTCTAAGGGACCTGCCCTTATCTTTTGTAAATAATCGATGACAGAGACATTTATCTGTATCAAAGGGCTGACCTACAAACCACCTGTGTATGTAGTCAGTCTTTAGGAGTACCCATCCCATTATGTCTCTTCTGCTGCCCTCACTTCATTTTCTTAAACTAATAAACCCCTCTTTTTTGATGAAATTGAAACTTGGAACAGCATCCTAGATTTATTATTAGATTGCAGACTGTGTACAACAACGTCTGACCGTACTTAGATAAGACACACGACTCTCAGCGGTTTAATGAATTCATTTGTTGTCACAGAGTCCAAAGTTGTAGGAACGGGCAAACCCATTAAGAATCATCAACTTTTAGTGTCGTCTTTATCTTTCAAGTCTTGGTGGGAAAGTTTCCAGGTACATCATTAGGTAGTCCACCCTTGGCAAAGCTTCACTGTGTCACAAGCTATAAACATCTTTTATGGTGTTCTATCTATTTTCAGGCTTTGTTGAACACATTCTTATAGAAAAAATGACAATGCTCATTAGGGCTGGGCGATAAACCAGACAATAACGAACGTATATAACGAAAAAAAATAACGAAAGATGCTTACCTACATCAGAAACGTGACGCCACCCCATTCAGTCCGTAACAAAGAGGGAAAGACAGGTGAGGAGATGGAGGATGGTTCAAAAGTTGTAGCAGGTAAAAAGGCGGCTGAAGTAGTTGAAGTTAATTTGGGAGGGGGTGAGCAGCTTGTGGAGTAGTATCGAAGTGAACAGCTCAATATATCGTGATATTGATTTGAGGACATATCGCCCAGCCCTACTTTACTCTGTACAGTTACTCCACATCAACATGTGGACTCTACAGAGCCTGAGTAGAGCTGCGTTTCTAAGACACTCGATACTGTCACTGGGTTGTACTCCTTTCAGTCGTTACAGCTGGAGATGTTCCTGTGAGATACTAAAGGTTCTGTTGCATGAAAATGTAACCCAAAGGAGAATACCTATCCTTCTTGTACTGACATGCAGATACGTCAGGAAGCTCACCAGCAGCATTGCATTATTAATCGTTTTATCCAACAGTTGTCTTGTGAAAGCGATTTCAAGAACATTAGTTTGTCTCATACACTCAAATGATGACTCACAGCCACTTGTTCTCTGGAAGTTGCGTCAATTCAACTTAATGTGGTGACCTTCCTGTGACAATCAGTATGTTAGGGTCAGGCCATATTTAAAATATTGGTTTGCAGAAGGGGAAACGAATGAAGTGACTTTCGGAATGTTTTTTTCCCTCCACTGCCGGCTTAAACCAGCAGATTTGGGTACCAGGGATGTGCAATTAGTCACCTGGCAACAGGACACAGCTCCTGATCGTGTGGAACAAGTCACAGGCTGTGCTGACACTCGATGCACGGACTAGAAGTGAAAGAGCCGTTACCCTTTGTTGGTTTTTAATAACCTTGCTGCATTTAGGCTCTCAGGGAGGGCGTGCAGCAAGGAAGGACACAGCGGCTGTCTTTTATTGACAAGCAGCCAGTATGAACAGGCTTATCTCACAGTTCAAAACTCCACCCTCGTGATAGCCTACATGATGTCTTCTTTCATACACTCAGTCCACTTCACATTTATCTATCTTATACATACGCCTTGACAACACTTCTACTCGTATGCCATAGGTTACTCTTTGAACTCCCCAGCCCTACTTTTCCTTATCTTATCTACAGTGCTTTGGCTCTTCACTTGATGAGCACTGAGGCCATAATTGAAGTCATGCAGGACAGATTTAAGAATGTGTGAACTGTCACCACTTAGTCTTGGCTGGAAGTTTCAGGCTCTGCTGAGCCTCTTTGTCCCCAAGTCCCAGACCTGCTGAGAGCTCTTTGTTCCTTTACATTGTGAAGGCTTAGTATCGATGCAGAAATGGCTTTTTGTCTCTTTCTCTTCCTGATTCGTCAGCATGCACAGTCTGCTCTTGTCCCTTCTGGTCACCCTTGAATGATAATGGGTCATTTAGTGAGTCATTATTGCATCCAGTGTTTAGTTTGCCACCGCTGGAGGCTCCAGCTGTAATGCGTTTAGTCCGTTCAGTTGTGACCTTTCCTGAAGAGCGACAAGCCTGCCGGTCTGGTATTGAAGGTTTTTTATAAATGGCAATCTTTGCAGAGAGATTCCAATAGTTGAGCAATGTTCTGTCTTAGAGTTCCAAAACATGCATGTGGATTCTTATAGTAAAAAGTGATGTACAATTCAAGTCAATAACATTATAGCAAAGAGACAGAAATTCTTATTGTAGTCCTAACTTATGTTTTCTGAACGTTTTACCCCTTTGTACGGCTGGGTGATATGGCCTCAAATCAATATCATAATATATTGACCTTGATAATGATAAATGGACGATAACTACTCCCCCTCCCACGTTAACTTCGTCTACTTAAGCCGCCACTCCAGCCGCTACAACTTTTGAACTGTCCTCCATCTCCTCACCTGTATTTCCCTCCTTGTCAAAGACTAGATGGGGTGGAGTCACGTCTCTGACAGCGTCTTAAAGGGACATGAGACCATAGCCTACCAACACACATCCAAAACCAGCTTTTATTTCTTTATTTTTTTTTACACTGAATGTACCGATATGGGCAAAGTGACGTTGGTTATTGTTTTCAATTTATGTATTAGTAAATTTTCAGTTTATCACCCAGCCCTACCCCTTAGTTATGTAAACCATAGATTTTTTTCCTCATTTTGGAAAATACTGCATTATTTCAAAACAAAACTTTGTTAAACATGAAGAAATTTGCCGAAGTGCACGTAGGAAATGTCAATATGCCGTACAGTTATTCCAAGATCAGTTTGATCCAGTGGTCCCTGGTTGATGTGAGAGCATTTGCACTCTTCAGGAGCTCCAGTTTGTTTGCTTGCTCTGGTTAATATAAATCCTAAATGCATGGCTGTCGCCTCTTGCAGCTGTAAGATATATCAAACATACCAACCAGTGGGCGTCCCTCAGTTCTGAAGTGATTTACACGCTCTAAAGTAGTGCTCTGCCAGCTTTTGTGATACAGTGTCCCGCCGACATCAGTCTGATTAGCTGCGTCTTTATGCTAAGCTTGTAAGTGGGAGCTCAAACTCAAAGTGCTCTCATGAAAATTAAAGTACATATTACCTTTCACTTATCATCTGAGCTGTGCTTTTCATTTTTTAAAATGTAAGGTCGCACTCAGAAGCACTGCCTTTATCTGCCACAGCAGCTTAAATAAAGAGTACCAAATGAGTGTACGCTAAAAAAAGTAACTAATGATTATTCCTCTTTGAAAGACGGGTTTATAGCATTATCTTAAATGGACTGTGTCCCTGAAGTAGCTAAAACTCAACTGTGTTAGTATAGATTAGAAAATTCTATATGATACTGAACTGTGATAAAACGTCATCTTTTATTTGGTAGAACATACGGACTCTCGATTTAGTCTTTCTATGTGTTTTTTTATCGCTTGATTAAGTTTTAAATGCCAGCCTATTGTGGCCTTTTTATGGATCATGAATTATAGAGTGAAAGCTGTGGGCCAAAGACCCCCTTACGCTCAGGTTCATTACTTAATGCCACACGGAAGACGACTTTGCACAAGGGATCATGGGAGTCCTTGTCTTCTATTAATAACCCTACTTGGTGCCCCCCATGTTGTCCTCTGGATTCAGTTTTACAAGTTTCTCTCAGGAGGACTTTGAAGTTCTGTCATGAGAAAAAGAAAACTGTTCATGTGACCAGAGGGCCTCCCTGTCAGCAACCCAAAACCTGAACTGCTCAGTAAAGCAGTACACAGGAGATTAAGTTTGCTGAAGTTGGCGTCTACAAGGTTCAAAGTTCGGCTGAATGAATCTGTGAAACCCCGTCTCGCTGTCTCATAGTTCTCCTTGTGAGCATGCTGGAAATCAACATGTGTTTTGAGTCCAGTTGCTTATTTAAATTAGGTTATAAAGAGCATTCCATTCTCTGTGATTTTCCATGCACAAGCTATAGGCATGAGACTCACTCAGCTATAAGACACGATTGCAGAGTTTCTGCAACCTTTTCCAGTGTCTTCAGGTTCTCCTGGCTGTATCGCTGTGCTGCCATTCGGCCTGATATCATACTTACACGTGATGTTTACCCAGAAATGTCAAGCATAAGACCCCTCGGGATCTGTGAAAGTAAATAGTCTTTGTTTGCAGACCTCATTTCTGGGATCCCAGTATTCCTTGGTGTATGCACTGCCATCTGCAGCCTGCTATTAACTTGCAACTGGTTAAGCATGTTGGTTTTCTACTGAAGACAATGCTTCATGCCTTATTAGTAGACATATGTTGTGTGCTAACATGGAGTGTTACTGGATCAAGGTTGATAATAGGTTATGTTTCTTTGTAGAGCCTCTCAGCATCTGTTCTTTGTCTGATATACCTTTCACAGTTGCAGTGATATCATAAGTGTTTTCAGTGGCACAGATGCAGAAAAAGGTGTAATGCAGAAATCAGGGCTTGGGATGAGTTGGAGCTGGTGTCATCAAATATATCATCCAGGAGGTGGTCTCAGAAGTCTCTAGTATTTATTCCTCATTTGGCTATAATCAACCAAAGAAATTCTTGGTCGACTGAAACCCTGAAATTTTTGACCAAAAATCGACTAAGGTGGGCTCAGTGAGGTGAAAATATACTGATATCAGCACAAGAAGGCAGTTAAACATCTGTTTCCCGACTTCTATTTTAGAAAAATTCTGCCACACTGCTGATGTCTTTGACATGGATGGTAGAGGAGGACTCACATGAAAGTTGAAACGCTTAAAACATAACCACCGGACCCGGGTTTTTTTTTGTTTTTATTTTTGTAGGATGGTAGGTGAAGGTCCCGCCCTCCTTCACCTCTGATTGGCTAGAAGTGCTGGGCTCCGATTGGTTATTCCTTATGGCTGTGAAACCTCATCGTCTCTCGGGTTAGGGTTCGGATTAGGAGACTCAGAAGTGCGATAATGTTTTGTAATGTTCTGTTCGATGTACAGAGCCGACAGCCCAGGTTTGGCTTGAGCGTGTGATGATGTTTCCAGCTTTTCTAGCCAATCAGAGGCGAAGGAGGCTCTGAAAACAGCCCCATTAGCACTTTGTACGTTCCTACTGATGAAATTAACCATAGACTGTAAACTGACACGGAAAAAATCAAGCTGGTACCTTCCACACTTATAGTCTAGTTGCGTTTAATACTCTTTAAGCCTTCGTAGAGATTCAGGATCTGTGAACATGAGTTGTTAGTACTATCTCACCTTCAGTCTTCTTAAACCCTTTATCTTGTCTTGTGAAGAGGTATTGTACTTCTGTCAATCTCAGACCTAGCTGTGGAATTTACATCCTGTTCGCCACAGAAACTTTCCAGGGGAGACACAAAGTTTCTGTTGCGCCTATCAAAGAATATCTCTGTTAACCCACCAGGCCTCCTTGGAGTTGTGGGTGTCGCCTGTTTTCTAATAAAGTGCTCTGGGAGGGAAGAGCGCTCAGCCTCTGACATCTCATTGTGGGGAAATTAGGTCTCCACAGAGCGTTTAAAAGGAAGGCTTCCTCGCTGTCTCTCCTCAGAGCATGCAGCTGGATAATCCACAGACATGCACTTGTTGAGCTTGTGCACTGAAACACTAATACTGTTGTCTTTACCCCTCCCCCCCTTTCTTCAGATGTGTGAGATTTTTAAATTTAGCTGCTAATTTTTCACACGCTGTGAGGCTGTCAAATGATAAGATGTAGGACCCACATTACTTCAGATAATGACGTGCATTTTGTCTCTAATTTGATGCAACAGTTTTGTTTACTTTCATTATTAGTTCTTGTTTACTAGTGAGCATTTGTGCAACATCTGGCAATTACACAACATTAGGTTCAGCTTGCTGTGAATATTAATCATTATAGCTCTTCTGTCATCCTCCCTGTGCAAACTGGAGCCAGCCTGAGCAGCTCACCTGCAGGCCCGCTCGATCTCTCCTCACGAAGCGAGCGCATCCCTGTGGTTAACGTGCCAGATGGTCCTTTTTTGTACATATTTTGCTTATTGATTGTTTATAATGCGCAGCCTTGGGTGCTTTAATTCGAGCCCCCGACTGTTTCACGGCTTATTATTTCTGTGCAAACGCGTCTCACAATTCGAAACAGAAATTATAGGGGTGGGTGGACTTAACAATTCCATGAAAAAGCTGCAGCTCGGGTCTGATATGAAAAACATCTTGTTGACACGGCCCAATTAACCCGTCAAACCCTCTGATTCAGCCTGTTATACAAACACCCACACTGAGGGTTTTTGTGCCACTCACAGGAGCATTAATTCCTCATGAGGCATGTCAAATTGGGTTGAATCATCGGTTATTTTACACTCATGGCTAAAAACAACAAATCCAGGTCCTGCTCACTATGATAACATCTAATTGTATGATCATATTATCTCCCTCTATAAGAGTCCTCTTTCCACATGAGCATGTAACCATATCTGTTTCATACGCCTGTCTGTGTGCGTTTGTTAATGTCAGTATACAGTATAATGTCATCAGCTGGTGCAGTGCAATGTTTACAGTAAATATAGCCACGGAAGATTTCATGCTATATGACACATGCTATAACTCTTTGAAGTACTTGTTGACTATTTCTGCACAGGCTGCGGGTGTCATGTCGCCACATTGCGTATATACAGTGTGTGGCCTTGTCTGTGTTTATGGTTGCGTGTCAAACTCACGCTGGTGGTATACTTTTAGAGTGAAAAGCTTTATCTCAAATCGCCATGTTGTGTTGGTTTGATGATTTATCATGCTGTTGAGTTTTGGCGTAAACGGTGATGCTGGAGACTTTCCTTCAGAGCTGCATGTGCTGCAACATGTGAGCAATACAGCCTCAAGCAATAGCAGATGATTGCAAAGTGGGCAAGTTTGGATTAGGATGATAACATGTAGACAAAGACTCACCAGCTGAATTTCTATAAGTTCATTTTCATGCATGTGAGCTCGAGGCATTCAAGTATTTTAAACTGCAGCCTCGACATGTCATGTGAGATCTGTCTACAATACATGTTTTGCATACTATTTCCATTTTTTCCTTGTGATTCCTCAAGGCTGTATTGTTCGCAGTTAGCCACCCTGGTCACTTCACAGCATACTAAACACCTTTCCTGTCCTTTTTCCTGTAAACAGATTCAGAACTAAGGGTGCTGTTTGATAATTTGAGATTATTCAAGATTTATCAGACCCTAGAAGTTGAAATCACCAAACAATGTATGCAAGTTCTGACATGTCTGCTAAAACTGACACACCAATCAACAACCCATATTTACATGCTCAGGAACACTGTGTGTCAAACTGTTTGTTTTTGCACAACAGATTTGAGCAAACTGCACGTGCAGCTCAAGAAATGAGACTAACCCAAAAAAGTTATATGTGTTCAAGACTTTTTTTTTGTTTGATTCTTGATGATTAAGACAAAAATCATAACTCCACTACCTCAAAACATTAGAATATTGTTGGCAGCTGTCCAGAAGACGATCACTGACACCCTCCACATGGAGAGAAAGCCTCAGAAGGTCATTGCTGAAAAGGCTGACTGTTCACAGAGTGCTGGATGAAAGCAGATTTATGGAAAAGTGTGGGAGGAAAAGGTGACCAAGCAACAGGGATTCAAGAAGTCAGGGGAGCCTTAAAAAGAGTAGGCTGAGGCTGGAGTCAGTGTACGGACAGCCACACTACACTATACATAATACGAGTCCAGGAAATGGACTACAAGTGTCGTATTCACACTTTAAAGGCACTCTTGAACCAAGGACATTGTCAGAAGTGTCTAAGTGTCTGCTCAGATGAAAAAGAACTGGATGACTACTGAATGGCCCAAAGTCCTATTTTCAGGTGAAAGTACATTTTGTACCTCTGGAAGTCAAGATCCTAGAGTCTGAAGGAAAGACCACCATGAGATTTAAGAGCTCTTCGTGTTTCCATCTTCTGAGAAGCTTTGTGGAGGTACAGATTCATTCTCCAGCAGGACTGGGCACCTGCCCACAGCGCCAAAACTACCAGAAACTAGTTCATAAATGAGGTTATAGATCCTTTTTTTGTTGTTATATCCTGACGTGTTGAGATGGTGAATTGTATTCCTCAAGAATAAAACAAAAAAAGTCTGTAAACATTTCACTTTGTGTGCGATGAATCTTGAACATGTAGAAGTTTGACTTTTTCAAATTAAATTATGGGGAAAAAATGAACTTTGTACTGGTCATTTTAATTTTTGGAGCTGTGCTTGTATTTGAATCAATTGTATTACTACCTGGAAGTCTTGAGCACCACCACAGTAACTGCCTTATGTGAAGAATTTGTCTTCTAGGTGGTGCCAGTACACTCACGGAAGTGTAGTATGTCCCGTCTGATTGCTCTTTTAATGTCGTGTCAGCAAGTATTCAAGTCACTCTAGCTGTCAGGGCCTTAAAAAGAAGAGGAGGATATACTTTACTGAGAGAGCAGAAGGGATTCTCAAATACCATGAATCCCCAAAGCAGTACATTCTCTGTTTGTAGATCTTTGTCTCTTCTGTTCCAGTACATCTAATATGAGTTTTCGATCCATTTCCCAGGGTTCCATCTGATTCCTCGCCTGTCCAGCATTGTGCCAGAGAGCTGCCTGCTAATCACGGTGGGCCTGCTTGTCGGGGGGCTCATCAAACTAGCTGGAGAACAGGTCCCCCCAGTGCTGGACTCCAGATTGTTCTTTCTGTGCCTGCTGCCTCCCATCATCCTAGATGCTGGCTACTTCCTGCCCATCCGTCCCTTCATGGAGAACCTGGGCACCATCCTCATGTTCGCGGTGGTGGGGACCCTGTGGAACGCCTTTTTCATCGGGGGGCTGCTGTACGCCGTGTGTCAGATCCAACCAGCCAATCCAAATCCACTCCACGCCATGGAGCTGTTGCCATGCCTGCTGTTCGGCTCCATCATCTCAGCTGTAGATCCTGTGGCTGTGCTGGCTGTGTTCGAGGAGATTCACATCAATGAGCTGCTGCACATTCTGGTGTTTGGCGAATCGCTGCTCAATGATGCAGTGACTGTGGTGAGTGACGAAGACAGGAAACAGAGAAATAAAGTTGTTAGAAAACTTTCTTGTTTTCTTGATGCTCAAATAAGATACACCGACTGATTGTAGGATAGTATCTGCATCTGGAAGTGTTTTTTATTTCTATTTATCCCTAAAGCAGCTAAACCAATCACTGAGGAGGTTCTAGATTAGCTTCAAATTGATTAATTCTGTTTTGTTTTTTTTTACATTTACTAGGCTGACATAGCTGTCAACAAGCAGCCGGTGATCTGCTGACTATCCTGTCACCGCACTATTATCCCCAGCTCTCAGCATGGCAGCTGTTAGCTGGCCCTCTCTGACAGCCACAGTATAAAGTTACTATTGATGCTAACGTTACACCAAGCAGCCTGGCATTTTCCCCAAAGAATACTGCGCTAAATATTTACTATAATACCGTTATATAATACTATGATGCTCTGCGTGTCCATTCAATAAGGGCTATTGTCTGCAGCTCACATGTTTGGATGAAAGTTCAGCTTGAGTGCAGAGGTAGGCTCTGTGCTGTCATTGGCAGAGAAAAAAAACCTGCCTGCACTGTCTCTCTGTGCTGTCACTAATTCAAGAAGAGAGAGAGAGGGAGGGAGGGAGGGAGAGAGAGAGAGAGCCTGTCTTGTGTCTTGGAGCAGGGGGGGTCAGGGTTGAATTGGGCGTGAGGACATTGCAGTAAGGACTGAGGCTGAGTAAGAGGTGCATGCTCAGGATGGCCCTGACACAGGCAGTTTGGAGTATAGCAGAGCACGTCAGCCTGTTTGTGATAGACAGATAGTCAGGCTGCTTCTGCAGAAATGTTAGAACCTCTTTTGCTGGAAGTGTGGCCCATATGATGCTGATAAATACAAAATAAAGAGTACTTTTCACCTGGTGATACCTGTGTTTACTCATTAATCTGATTATCTGTCTCATTCACTCTTTCTCTTCTAGGTGTTGTACCACCTGTTTGAGGAGTTTGCAGGTGCTGGCACTGTGACTGTGATGGACGGCGTCCTGGGAGTCATCTCCTTCCTGGTTGTAGCGTTGGGTGGCGTTCTAGTCGGAGCTATCTACGGGATCCTGTCCGCGTTTACGTCTCGTTTCACCTCCCACACGCGTGTCATCGAGCCACTTTTCGTCTTTGTGTACAGCTACATGGCTTACCTGTCCGCTGAGATGTTCCACCTGTCTGGCATCATGGCGTAAGTTTGAAAGAGATAGAGTGAGCAGAAAGTGACGCTTTCACAGAGAGGCCTGTCCATCGTTAATGCTTTCACTGTGGTTTGAGTAGGGCTGGGCGATAAACTGCAAATTTACCGATACCGAAATTTACAACAATAACTGATGTCGTTTGCCCATATCTGTATATTTGGTGTCAAAAAGATAAATAAATAAAAGTTGGTTTTGGATGTGTGTAGGTAGGCTATGGTCTCACGTCCCTTTAAGACGCTGTCCTACATCAGAGATGTGACTCCACCCCATCCAGTCCGTAACAAAGAGGAAAAGACAGGTGAGGAGATGGAGGACGGTTCAAAAGTTGTAGCGGCTGAAGTTAATGTGGGAGGGGGTGAGCAGCTTGTGGAGAAGTTATCGTCCATTTATTGTTATGGAGGTGAACTGCGTGTATATTGATATATCGCAGTATTGATTTGAGGCCATATAGCCCAGCCCTAGCATCGAGGGTCATCCACTCCAGTTTAATAGCTCACTTTTATCTTTCAATTTTTTCCCTTTGGGCAACCACAAGGACATCAAACTTGTTCCTTGGCTGCCAAAAATAAAGATATTAATTTGCCTCCATGCTTCGATCCGGGACCACATACTGTCTCTGCTTAGCCAATAACATTTCCATTTCTCTGGCTTTGATCTGGCTCGGTTCTGCTTCATTTTCATTAAGGCGTGCATGCCGTCAGAGCCTTCACACAGCTGGCATGTGCAGCAGAGCTCAGATCCACTGTTAATTTGAGTGTATTCTGACAGTAAACAGGGCTCCACATGCACAGCTATATGCCAATCAAACACAGGAACACACATACATAAATTAAGACATAAACTGCTGCACAGTGGAGTGACTTTACTGCGCCTTTATTATGAGCAAACAATCCATTTCCACCTAAACATTTGGCTGCGTGCGGGGCGAAACCTGAGGAAGCTGAAGGCAAAACACATTGTTCACCCACAGTAAAGCTACTGAAGTCATTTCAGTGTGCAGGGTTAACTTCTTATTTTAACATGAGTGTTTGATTGTTGAATATGTGTTTGTTGACTTAACCTTCTTAACAGAAAAGAAAGTGTTTGAGCAGACTGCACAGCTGGGCTACAAGCACATACAGCCAATTTTGACATGCTGTTGTTCAGTGGGTAAAGATATCTTCATCTAGAAGCACGTCTATGTAAGCAAATCAGGGAGCCATGGGAGCTCAGCTCAGGATCTCTAACAGGATATGACAAAGGGCCCGTTGTGATAACGCTTGTTTGCCTTTGCACTGAATCCGAAGTTTGAAAAAATAAAACAACTTTGGTATGCCAACACTTTCCAATCAGAGGTAAACACAAAGAGCTGCAAAAGAGGGCGAGATACAGGTTCAGAAATGATCTTTGTAACATTTTTAATAAGGTAGGGCTGCTTGATTTGAGCTCTTTTATACTTTCATATAATCCCAGACTGCAGATCTAACTAATCATTCAGTCTTTTCAAGTCTTGGTATATTGTGTTTTATTGCCCCAAGATTTGTTTATTTATGTTTTATAAAGATTTTGATAGATAGACAATGTCCCTCACTTTTTAGTCCAGCAGTCTAGGGCTGGGCGATATGGCCTCAAATCAATATCACGATATTTTGAGCAGTTCACCTCGATAACAATAAATGGACAATAGCAACTCCACAAGCTGCTCACCCCCTTCCACATTAACTTCGTCTAATTCAGCCACTGCTCCGGCTGTTACAACTTTTGAACCATCCTCCATCTCCTCACCTGTCTTTCTCTCTTTGCTACGGACTGGATGGGGTGGAGTCACATCTTCGACTCAGGAGAGCATCTTAAAGGGACATGAAAACATAGCCTACCCACACACACTCTAAACCAACTTTTATTTATTTAATTTTTTGACAACAAATATATTGACATGGGCAAAATGATGTTGGTTATTGTCGTAAATTTCTGTATCTGTAAATTTTTGGTTTATCGTCCAGCCCTACAGCAGTCATTTGTTCACTACAGCCTCTCTCTCGTCCCTTGGCTTTTCAGACACACACTCCTGCCTCCTCCTGCTCCTCTCCCTGCTCTCCTCTCTCCAAATGTTGGAGCCTAATGAATTATACCGTTGTTGCACAACATGTTGAAGATACCACTGTTTATTTTAGCTGGAGCCGCAGCTTCCTTGTGCTTTCACGCCGATCCGAGCTGTTAATGACAAAGCCAAAGTGAGAGCTGTTTGAAGGGAGGGATGGTGCCCACTCTCTGCTGTGAAGAATAGTGCTGTTACTGTGTGTCGGCGCTCTGTGGCAGGTGTAAAATAGTCCAGCTGTTTCAGGGACGTCCCTCATGTATCGCATGTTCATAATATATAGTCCCTCTCTCAGCCATGAGATGTCATGGTCTATATCCAACATCCTCGTGCAGAGAAGCTCTATTTCAGTCACTCAACTCAAGAGCGTGGCAGATTACTCTCCCTGTAACCAGTCATATAACAGATTACACTGATCTCCCAACACCTCGGTCAAGCCTGAATTTATTGGCATCCCAATGTTCTCTGTCTCGTCAGCTCTTCCTCCAGAAAATATCAATCTATTTTCAGTTTTAAGGTGCGAGGAGTTATTGATGTTGCGGAGAGGAGGTGATGAAATACTGAGCCTCTCCTCTGAGTCGGGGCTGAAGGATGTTCATACTCAAGGACAGAGCGAGTCGCCGCCTCCTCGCACCTTAAATCGAAAGCAAGATTTGTCAAAGTGTTTTTTTCCTTTTTTTGTATAATTTGTTTGCTGGAAAGCGTTAGCTGGTTTACAGGCAGATATTTCTTGGATTATTCACTGAGAGGCTAAAGAACGGGAAGAACAGGAGTGGATGTATGGAGGTTGTTTTTGCTGACAGAAAACCACTGAGGCAGACGACGGCAAATTCAACAGAGGAGTGGTTGCTAGACAGAAATGGGATAACAATGTTGTATAAGAGGTTTATCTTCTTTAGTAACACATATAAAAAGCATTTTTCTTTCATCTTTCCAGATTAATCGCATGTGGAGCAGTGATGAGACCCTACGTGGAGGCCAACATATCCCATAAATCCCACACAACCATCAAGTACTTCCTGAAAATGTGGAGCAGCGTCAGCGAGACACTCATCTTCATCTTCCTGGGTGTGGCGACTGTGGACGGCCCTCATGCCTGGAACTGGACATTTGTCACTGTCACAGTGATCCTTTGTCTGGTGGCTCGGGTCATAGGTCAGCTGCTTTGCACTTTTTCTTACATTCACTTCTTTAAAGGGTGGAGGCTGTGTGGTTTACTGTGTGAAGGTTCAACGGCTGAAACCGCACAAAAGAGGAAGTGTGTTTTATAAGAGAGTTTGGAGGCTCGTTCATGAGACATCTCTGATAATAAGTTTATATATATATCACCAGATGAGACAGTCACTCTAGATTTCCTCACCAAGCGCTTTTACTATAATATATTTCACAAGAGGCCATCAATGCAAAGCAAAATCAAAGCAGCTCAGTGGAGAAAACTGTATCACAGGCTCTTTGAAGTGATTGTAATTCACACATCGAGAATTTCTGCGTTCAAAAAGACCTTGACCTTGCAAAGGGAGCTGGAAAATATATTAAGTTGCCATCTGGTTTCATCACACAGCTGACGGCGTGTAAGAGGAACCTCCTCAGAGGATTTCTATGTTAACTTCAGACTGTCACAAGCCCCTCTGTCGATGATTCGTCATCCTGGAGATGTTAGTGTTTTTGAGAAGAGATAGTAGAAGTGAAAGACAGATGAGATGTGTTCAGTCAAGCTGAGATCTCATATGTATTTCACATTTGTAGCCCTGGGATTAAACCGTCTGCTGCTGCATTGTCACACTCAGTGATGATGCCTGTCTCTCTCCCGGCACATGGAAACAAGTTGAAGAAGTATTTAAGGCAGGCTGGTTTAGCACTGCGGTTAAAGTGTGTGAAGACGGTCTAAGAAGGCAGACGGGAGGAGTTCTGATCTGATCTGTGACACCTTATCCGTCTTCACTTTCTCCCTCCTATAAAGGCGTGAAAAGACCTCCTAAAAAGAGGATCTTTCTCTGTGTTTGCATGTTTAACTTATTTCTTGTCGTGCAGCTTAAGCATGCTGTAGTGCTCCAGTGTAGGGTTTTTGTCCTCAGGGTGATTGATTTCTATTTAGTGTAAAGCAGAATTCGATTAAGAGATTGAAAACAGACTGCGGTTAAGAGTTGTATTACATTAAATATTACCTAGTCTGTCAGTTATGAGTGATCTGTCGATCAGGTTGGAGTAAAGTGCTTCTCTGGAGAGGGAACCACACTAGCTGTGTTTACATGGGCACAAATAATCAGAATAAAGGCCTGATCGGAATAAAAAAAGTGCCATGTAAACATGTGGATTGGGAGAATCTGATCAAATTCGGCTCAATCAGGAAAAAAATTGCTTTCTGATCGAGAGGGGTGGTTTATGCCAATCGTTATTCCGAAATGCGTCCATTTAAACACTTTGGTTTATTTATTGAGGCCAGTTCAGGAGGTTTCATTATTAACACTCTGGCATAAAACACAACCGCACGGGCCGTGTCTACTCCTCCGGTAACATAACAAAGCGTGCATACAACGTTATGATGTCACATCTACACGCACAGTGCAACCTTTGACAGAATAGTAAAATAGGTGAGCAAAGGCGCCATCTAGTGACAACATGTAACAGGGGGGAACATCCTGAATTGAATGGAGTGAGCCACTACCGCGTTGTAAATACAACTCTTCTTCTGTGGTTGTTTTTGCGACTCTAATCCCTCTAATCTGAATAAAGCTTGGTGCATGGATACGCACATCATAATCGGATTATTTGACTTTGCGCCCATATAAGCAGTGGATTCAGATTATCTTATCCCTCAAATTTTTAATCAGATCAAGAAATTTTGCACATGTAAACGTGGCTGTTGATAGGTTAATCCTGCTTCACACTAACAAACACACACAGCCTGAGATCCTCTCAACTCGTCCTCCCCAGGTGTCGTCGGCCTGACGTATGTGATCAACCAGTTCCGTATCGTCAAGCTGACAACTAAAGACCAGTTCATCATCGCCTACGGTGGCCTGCGAGGGGCGATCGCCTTCTCCCTCGGTTTCCTGCTGGACAAAAATCACTTCCCAATGAGAGAGATGTTCCTCACCGCCATCATCACTGTCGTCTTCTTCACTGTCTTCGTTCAGGTAAGAGAAATTAGAGAAAGTCCCTCGCTGACACATCCAGAAAGTAGAGAGTGATGGCTTCTTTTTCTCTCCTTGGGTGCATGTCACCCTCATTTGCATCTGTTAACATCTATCATGCTGCTTTCAAAGGAGTATCTTTTGCCTCATAAGCCTCGTTTGAAATTGAAACATCACTCGTTTGATTCATGCACACCAATACCTTTAAAAAACCAGCGTGTCTCACAGTGCCGTTTTATTCAGCCCATTCAGTCAAACACTGTTAATGATGTTCCTGCTTGTCAAGCGGAGGACTGAACATCAAATACACGTTCATGTAATCCCTCAGTGGATACCGTTTTTTGGTCTCTGTTGGTTTTTGAAGAAAACAGCCCCAGCTGGTTCAGCAAACTGTCATATCGGCTCCAACTCTCCAAAGTCCACTGACAGGCAGACATGCAGGTGTGCTAATTCAGTCACCAAATACAGAACACACGCAGAGGGAATACAAGAACACATTTATGAGACTTCTCTCCGAGGAAACACGAAGATAACGAAACAGCAAATGAAGGTGAGATGAGGACAAACAGGCAGTGATTGTGTCCTGCTAGATAAAGAGGTCTCCAAGCGCAACGGCAGGAAGACTCTTGGAATCGAGTTTGACCCCAGATGGAAACAGCTAAAATAAAACCTGGAGATACTCTTTTTTTTTTTTTCCTCCTTAGAGGCTAGATTAGAAACATGTTTTATTCATGCTGCTGCAGTCTGATTCGGAGAGAGATACAGAGCCAAAGAAGGAGGGGGCGAGATAGGAGGCCTCTTTCACCTGCAGTGTGCAGCCAAAGTGTATCAAAAAAGCTCAAACTGAGTGCTTGTTTTTATCTGGCAGAGAAATAAGGTGAGGTCTTCTTCGCTCTTGTTTGGTTAATGATTAGAGTCAGAAATACTTTGAATACTTCAGAGGTGTGCAGAGGCGTGGTATTTGTTTTTGCGCGAGTTAGCTTACTCCTTCTCTGATCCAGCGTTACGATAAGTAAAAACTTAGATTTTCTGGTTTTAGCAGGAGAAGCTTTTTGATTGTAAGAACTTTTATCATGAACATATAAGGAGTCAGGTGGTGATTGAGAAGCTGAAAGCACATGCGTATTGCTGCAACATGCAGATGACACTCTGCTCTACACCCTGTTTAAACCTGCTACTGCGGTTGTGTCTGACTTTATTTCCTGTCTGACTAAAACCAAGAGTTGGATGTCTAAAATGACGCAAAAGTTACTGTCATTACACCTCCTTCCCCTAGCTTATAGCTCCATCAATAACCTGTCCTCCAGCCTGGGCGACTTATCCAATGTTTGCAAAGAGGCCCACAACCACGGGGACATTTCTGACTCCTTTCCTTTGACACCCAGGTGACCAGAGTTATACAGTCCTACTTTACTCAGCTTAGACTGTGAACCAAAATCAGGTCTTTTCTTTCTCCTCCTGAATAAAAAAACTTTTTTTAATGCATTAGTTTCTTCCAGACTTTATTCTAGCTTCAGTAAGCAGAACATACAAAGACTATAATTCATGCAGAATGCTGCTGCCAGATTTCTAACACTTGGAAAGAGAGGCAACCATATAACACCAGTCCCAGCGGCCCTTCACTGGCTCCCTGTGAGTTTTAAAATAGATTTTAAGATTTTACTGCTTTTTTTAAAGCCTTAAATGGCTCCACCTTTTATCTGTAAGAAACTAGCCTGACTGCAGCCTGAGGTCCTTTAGCAGGACCCTTCTCATGGAAATCTCTGCCTGAGGATGTCAGACAGGCAAACTCAGTGTCCTCTTTTAAATCTCTCCTCAAAAACTCACTTCCGTTGTTCTTCTTTTTCTTGACCACCAGTTTGTTATATGTATCTGACATCTTAAATTATTGCTTAAGTATTGCATCTCACTTCTTTGTAATGTGTTGTAATCAGTCATTGAAAGCTTAATCAACTACAGCCGTTTACAGCTTTTCTTTCTCTACTTGCTGAGCACTTTGTAACTTGTTTTTTAGAAGTTCTTTGTAAACAAGATTATTAGTATTATTATTATTATTATTAACATGGCTGATTTGGTTCTAATCAGCAGATTCGTCCTCGGTCATACCTGCTGCACTTCTCTACTTGTTTTCTTGCTGCATTTAAACTCCAAAATGTCCAATAAAAGCAGAAATCAGTCTTTTAAAAGTGCCAATTTGGTAGTGCTATATTGTCATTACTGTTTTCATTTTTATAACATATGCCCAGGTGCGATTTTTTAAGATATATATGCTTTTATATACGACATCTATCATTTAAAGATGTCTGATGTTACTTATGTAAGAGACGACATAACAACGAGATGACTACACGTGCTGGTTGTGTTCTGACATGTTTAAAGTTGCACATATGTGCCCTAAGTGGGAGTTGGGCGTTCTGCATTACCACAGAATGTATCTAGTTTATTATAGTACAGTAAAGTAACTCATATTGTCATGGAGACCCCATAGGAGATATTTTTTCTGCATGGAGGTATTCAAATGAGCCTGAGACGAGCTGAGCCACGACAGAGCAGGAATCCTGGGACATTCACTTTAGGTTATTACAGTAAACCAGATGGCCTGTTTAATCTCTTTAAGAAGCAGAATGATACTCTCAAGGCTTTTAAGTGCAGACAGGATCACACACACACACATACACATGCACGTACACCTCTCCTTCTAATCCAACAGTAACAAACGTCAGTTATATTTCACTGAATTTTTCTGAATTTCGGTGATAGGGGACTGGAAAAACGAGGTGTAATTATTCATAGCTGTGATTCTTGGAAAGCAGCTATAAAGTCAAGTTTGAAACTGAATGGAAAGTGAAAATCTGAAGAGTGTTTTTGGATGATTGTGACATTTCTCAAACATTTAATTAAAGCTGTTTACCAATCAACATGAGATGAGTGTTTAGAATGAGTTTACTCCGAGGTTTTCTTAAAGGGAGCACCCACCAGTTCAGTTTCTAAACACATTTGTCCTCCGAACACAGTCCCAAAATGATATTTCAAATGTATATATATCTCGCTCTGTCTGGTTCAAAAATCTTTATGGAAGCAGGTCAGGGTTTCCCCAAGGATGAGTTTGTTCTTAAAGGAAACATCTCTGTACCAAAAGTCTGTGAGGGGCACAATAGAAACACTGAGTTATATCATCTCTATTTAGTGATGATCTTACCAGGAAGTGGTTTTCAAAAGTTGCTGAAATTAAACTCAAACTGTAACTTTCCACGGGTCTCGCCCTCACATGTAGGTGTGAGGTTTACAGTTACTGCAACATGGCTGTTGTGAAAGGTGTGAAAACCTGCTGTGTTGTTTCATCAGCCATTATGAAACATATCACGGAGGGAAGTGAGTTACTAATGAGCTTATGTTTGACTTTTGTGAATGAAAACTCTAACTTACCTTTCAGTTCTCTTTAAAAGAACAAATGCGATAGATGGTTAAGAAATGTGCAAGTCCGCACGTTACCTTTGTGTTTTGCTTCCACACAAAGAGGGTAATTAGTACATATTTCCGGCTGCAGGGTAGCAACAGGTGTGAATCAGAGAGTCTTAATTTGCTCTTGTCATCTTCTTTGAAGGGCATGACCATCAAACCGCTGGTGGAGCTGCTGGCAGTGAAGAAGAAACAGGAGGCCAAACGGTCGATTAATGAGGAGATCCACACGCAGGTACGAACCTTTTCCTCCGACTAACCTCAACCTGCAGGGACAGAAAACTGATTTAATCGAGTAGTGAGTGATGGGGTGTTATGAAAGTACTTGAACACAGCTCTCTTTGGAGCAATACACATCAGCTGCCACTAACTGAGAACTTTTAAAGGGCATTACATCATCATTGTATACAGGGACGACAGACTGGTGGGAAGTAAATGCAGAGAGTTTTCCCAGACTGGCAAAGCTGGCACGTCTGTCACTCTTCATACCAGCAACATCAGAGCCCTCTGAGAGTGTGTTTTCTGCTGCTGTGACTCACATGCACTCTCAACTGGGTCCTAAGCATGTGGTCATACCTATTTACTGTATAAGAAGGAGTGAGCAGAAAGGTGGATGCTGTGAGTTTGTGATATTTGGTAGTTTAGCAAACCATCATGAAACACACTTTAAATTTGCATCCTTAGTTTACACACATTAATACTAGACACCTTTGTTCATATAGATGATATATAAAACATCAGATTTTCAAAACATGTTTCTAATGAGGTGCAGTGTTGAGCTTTTGCAGTGTATTCTCCTTTCCTGTCATTTGTTTACACTGAAATCTACAGACTGTTTTGAACGACGACTCATTGATACATCATTAACAAAGCAAAGCAGAGAGGTGCACACACAGTATCTAAAGACATCTACTAAATTTCCTGGTTATGTGTCAAATTCCGTCAGTTGTTGGGGGTTATGTAAAATATGACACCCTCTTCCAGTAAATCCTCTCAGATCACTTCATCAAACCTGAACCGCTGCTGCCACCTACTGGTCATATCTTCAAACTTCATTTCATGTACAGAGACGTGTGCTTCAACAGCGGTCCAGAGGTTAGAAAACAGATGGCAGCTTTACTGTCCAACTTCCGAACGGAAACTAGTATAGCCAAAAGGTCATATCTAGCCGGAAGGAACCCCCTCATACACACACGTACACACTACACTCACACACATACACACAAACACGGATGCAGAGCTCATTGTATACACAGATAAAGATAGCCAATTGCATCTATGGCTGACCACAATAATATAGCTTGTATATAGAGAGACTCATACACACATATGGACAAAGATAAGCCTCACACACACACACACACACACACACACTCACATACACACACACTTACACCCAGCCATCTCTGTGGCTTTGCAGTAAGTCTCCAGTGCTGGAGGCTAGAAGAACAAACTGTCCTAATAGGCTCCCCTCCACAGTGACACACCGGTGATAAGAGCCAACAGAGCTGGCTGAGGAGGACACACTCCACACTCATACTGGGCGACAACCTACAAATGAAGTGCTCCCCAGTCAGTCCTCCAGTTTAGAGGAAGTTATTGTTGAATTGATTACATTTATTTATCTAGCAGGTGGCGAGAGGGCACATCATCCCCAACAGAAAATGCTTCAAGTACTCTCAAACACCTGTCAGTGCTGTGATGGGAACAACATAATAACACAGTATTTTACTCACAAGTAATACTAAAGAGCGCACAGTGATAGTGGTACTAAACTATACTGTGGGTCAAGCTGTTTTTACTTATGCTTCAAGAAGGTTTGTCCCATTTAAAGCAGAAAGACACAGTTTCAACAGTAAGTATTAATTTCACTCAGAAGATTAAAATAAAAATATGAAGTTCAAATGTTTATACAAAGATCACCTCGACTCCAAAGATTTCAGTAAACTTTTAAAACAAAAACAGTCATGGTCATTCGCTCCAGTTTGAAAGTACTCAAATTGGACGGCAGTACGACCACAAATTGAACAAAAGCTTAAAAAAGTATTAATTGGAAAACTTTTGTTAGAAATGCAAAGATTTAAATGGTAAGAAGTTTGAAAACTAAATAGAATTTCCCCCATACTGATAAAAAAGTCACACAGTAAGTTGTTGACAAGGGAAGTAAAACCATACATGTTTTTTTTGTATCAGAATAAGTAAGAGGAGATTTTCTCAGAGTGTTTCCACGTTGTCTTTTAGCTTCATCTTTCAGCCTCAACACTGTGGAGAAACTTCTCGTCCTCCTGCCCCCACACCGTCAGTCCTTCTCTCTATAAATCAGTCTCCTCTGTCAAAGCAGACGTAAATTCTGTGGCTCCGCTTAATGACTTGTTCCCATAGTAACCCTGCCTGTCAGACCGTCATCTGTAGTCTTGGAACAGCAGGGCGACCTGCAGCCTGATGCAGTCTGGAGAATAAGTACATCACTATGATTTTTTTCTGTTTTCCTGCCCTTCTGAGTGGGCGTGCTGCCACTGTTAATAAACAGAGTCCAATCAATCACCTGCACTCTGCTGCTGCTGCTGCTTGTTTTCTCCACGACTCCCGTTATGAAGCTTGTCACCCACTGTTGATGATAATGATGTTTGCGGCTGAACTGTAAGAATCGGTCACTGAGCTCACGTAAGACATTGTTCAGACAGCTAAACAGAGAGCCTGTTGTATCACTCAGTAGTGCTGTAAGTCATAGAAGAAAGCTTCTCCTCCTTCAGGATAAAAATAAACTTGATTTTTCTTCCAAGTTGTGAACTGTTCATGTGAAAAGTTGGAAAGAAGATAAATCAAACCTTGTCTCTGACTGTTATCGTAAGACATATAACTGGAAAGTTGTGTTTTTGGAGAAACTGCACTTTTCTGATGTGCTTTTAATGAACTCCAACACTCCACAGTAAAAAGAGGAACGCTTGAGTGTAACTTCCATTTAAAGAAGATTTTCTGCTCTTTTTTTCCCCTTCAGTTCCTCGACCACTTACTGACTGGGATAGAGGACATTTGTGGGCACTACGGGCACCACCACTGGAAAGACAAGTATGGATTGTACAGTTTTCTGACTCTGAAATTCATGATCGTTTGAGTATATTTGCAGATTTTTTCTCAGTACCTCGTTGTCAAAGTTCAAATGAAGAAAAGAGAGTCAGTCTATTACTGAGAAACAGTGTGGTATTTGTAACTTTTGAACTTCACACTGAAAAGGTCGGAGATTAATTTTCTGTCATATCAGCTAACTGGTTTGAACTTTCAGAAAGCACGTCAAAACCGTGTTTGTAAATGTGGCATCATCAGCTGTTTCTCTCCCTCTTTATCTTGTGTGCAGAATGTCCAACATCTCTGTCTCTCTTCTCACTCCTTCACTCTCATCTGTTTTCATCTGTCACTTCCCTCCCTCCTCCTTCCAGGCTAAACCGCTTCAACAAGAAGTATGTGAAGAAGTGCCTGATAGCGGGCGAGCGCTCCAAGGAGCCACAGCTCATCGCCTTCTACCACAAGATGGAGATGAAACAGGCCATTGAGCTGGTGGAGAGCGGAGGGGGAGTCAAGCTGCCGTCTGCTGTGCCTTCCACTGTTTCCATGCAGTGAGTACTAAGTCACTGTATCTAAATCCAAATCTGTCCGGAGCGATCACACTCAGAAAAATAGACCGCCCAAGCCTCAGTCCTTGAATCTACAATAACTATACCTTTTGGCCACCCGGGGGCAGTAGAAACCAGCTCCTGACGCCACTCTTATATAAGCAGTCTGACCTTTAAATTTAAAACTTGGTCGCAAACACTGACTTGTTTTCACATGCAGCAGCTACAGAGCAACATTATCATTCATTTTGAGTTGAGTTTGCAGCCACCTGTCCGGTAATCATATTGCATCTCTCAAAACTCATACAGGGGGGAAAAAAAAAAAAGGCTTTTAGCTCTTAAAAGCACCGCTGTGCTCCCCGGCTCGTCTCTGTCTGGGTCTGTCTGCTGTTTGGTGCTGAACAGGCAGTAAACAGTGTGCTTTTAGGGATGTTTTTCTCCGAAATCACCCGTCAGCTAGGCCTGAAAAGAACACTGAGAGTTATGAGAGTGAACCAAAACAGGAAAATGGCAAACAGGAAAGCTTCACGATGAGATGAAACTCCATGAACCTTTTAACCAAAGAGAAAATTTCTCCTCTTTTCCAGTTAAACATAATAATTGAAATATGTTGATTAGGGCTGGGGGATAAAGTGATAATTATGTATATCGAAAATTAATTTCCCACAATTGCGATATAAAACATGGTCAAAATACTTTTCAATAGTCGGCATTCTGCCATGTTTTGGTCGACTATACGAATAGCCAATGAAAAGGGGAGTTGCTCAGGGTCCGCTTCGCACTGAACCAATCGTGCTGAATTAGAACCAAGTAGCGAACAACTGTATAGTAGCAGGCAGCAGCTTCACGCAACCATAGCACTTTAACACGTGAAGCCGACAGCACTGTCGGTGAGAAAAAAAGAAAATGAGAGCTACCCCCGGCAGAAATGCAGATGAAGGCTCAACAGATGAAGACATCGTCGGACATGAAGCAGAGTAATGTGCACTGCAAATTATGTCGAGTACATGTTTTCGCAATGGCAATCTCGCATGTGCAATGCAAAAGGTTACAAACCCCGAGCGGAGCATGGAGCCCGTGGCACCTGTGCAGCCGAAACAGCCGACCATTCAGTCCGCTTTCTCTAGATCTCACAGATGCAGTAGCTTATTGTGTCGCAAAAGACATGCTACCAATAAACACTGTTAAATTTTAATCTTTATAATATGATATTTATCGATATCGACTGATGTGAAAAAAATATATCATGATAAACTTTTTCCCGTATCACCGAGCCCTAATGTTAATTATAATCTCTTCAAATGGTGTCTGAGACTCTGCCTCTCAAATCAGGAATCTACATCAACTTGTGTGCATTATATTACTTTTGCTCTCACAGGCGTCATAAGCTGAACAAGTTTGTGTCAAAGGTGTAAATGCAGCAGGAAGTATCACTTTTATTTTAATGCCTTGTTTCTCATTAACTATAACCAACTTTCTTCGTGTTTTATATGAATGTATGAGGGGAGCTTTAACTAGCCCCTGAGTTTTATTTCCTTTTAATGGTTGAGAAGATTAAACATCTCTTTCTCTGAACAGTAATGAGCTGTTTTTTGCGGCGAGTGTTGCACTAACAACTTTATTATTACAGCCTTTGTCTCGGGGTTCATTCACCAGCAGGAAGTCTTTCCTGATCATTTCACAGTGTTTGTGTGCAGTTAGCTTCTCTAAATAGGAGCACGCACCTTATTGATGTTGTGTCTGCTGTCAAGACTTGGATAGTTTGAATTTATGAGTCAAATTATGGATCTCCTCAGTGTAAGAATTGAGATTGCTCATCACAGCGAGGAAGACATTTCTGTAATTTCCTCCAAACAAAGCTTTGACGAGATCAGACTTTTAACAAGTACACACAGAGAGAAATCGTTAAGCCATCTCCAAGATAGAAACACTGACCTGTCAATGAGAGGTGAAGCTAACCCACAGCCGTGCTCTGAGTCCCCTGATCCTTTAATACCAGGTGGAAGACTCCGAAGAAGACCGGTCTTTAACTTTGCAGATGATCATATGTTTTTAAAACACACACAACATTTGTTTTGCATATGTCTGTAATTTGTTCTGTGCAGAACACAAACTCTGATCCTCTCCCTTTTTCCCCTTTCTCCTCTCAGGAACATCCAGCCCAAGAAGCCTCCGCCCGCCAAGCCGGCAGAGAGAGCTCTGCCCCAGCTGCCGAAAGGCCGAGAGGAGGAGATCAGGAAGATCCTCAGGAGTAATCTCCAGAGGACCCGACAGAGGGTAACACATCTATATGAACCCTGGAAAAGATGATTACCTGTAGCTGAAAGATGTTTGTCTGGTATCACCGGGACGCTACAGCAGATCAGTTTTCATATTGATTTGGGATTATAAAGAAGCTAGTTCTTCTTGCCTGTTCGGCTCAGGTGTATTGATTAATCTTGAGTTGGAATTAAATCAGCAGCTCTGCTCTTTTGTTAGTTTATTTTGCCTTTAATTATAAGCAACACTGCTGAAATGACTCTTTGTATTCACAGAGATGTTCCTTATTTTCATCATTACTTTCTTAACTTTTGTTGTTATCCAGCCACAGAATCAAAAATAGTGCAGTGTTTCTTACTGCGCTCTTACACCACCTTTTTCATCCATCCTTCCCTCATCAGCTGCGCTCCTACAACAGACACACTCTGGTGGCTGATCCGTACGAGGACGGCTTCGGCGACCTTCTCCTGAAGAAGCAGAGGATGATCGAGCTGGAGAAGAAGGTACAATCATCATCCTCAGAGAGGGACACGCTTCTGACATCCAGAATCAGCGCGAGTCTGATGTGTTGTTTTGATGAATATTATCGACACCAGGCCCCCAGTGTGATTGAACAAAAACACATTTTGTTGATCAGTCAGCACTGAATAGGACATCTTGAAACACCAAAAGCAGAGATTGTTATGCAATCCGCTTTAATACAAAGTAGAAGTTCGATTGCAGGCAGCAGTGTGTGATAAATGGGTAAGAAAGCCGACAGATGCAGAGCGGCTCTTCTCATTTCATAGCACCAGCAGTTAAATGATTCAGCCAAAATGATGATTTGTGTTCTAATTAGAGTCCACCTTCAGTCTGGGCTGATTTATTCTTACGCTCGAGTGGCCCTACAGCAGCACAAACTTCCATTTCATCAGCCAGTAATTACATAATGAAAACAGACTGTTGTTTTTGGGTAAAGGGAAAGTGCCGAGGGGCAGGGTTGGACTCAGGAGGATTTCTGCACAACAACACAAAAGTTTAATGGACTTTTTCTGAGATACGGATCGATGCAGAATTACTGACTTATATAGTTTGGATTCAGTATTTTGGGATCAGCTTCAGGGGAGGTATTTCACGTTATATTTCATCCTAAACGGTATTGAATGTTTAAAGGACTAATGCTGTGTTCCAGTTACCTCAGAAGTCGGATGACGGAGCTGGGAATGACGCTACCCCCAAGTTGACGGCGTTCTAGTAAACAAGTCGGAAAACCAAGATGAACGTCTACAGTTAGTTGTTGTTCGCTGTTGTTTACAATTGTCAGCTGCTGTCGGCCATCGTCAGGTGTTTTTATGCTGCATTCAAGTTACCGCGGAAGTCAGATGTCGGAGCTGAAAATGATGTCAGATCCAGTTTTCCAGCGATTCAGTTACTGAGTCGGAAAAAAGCAAAATCGGAGGCCTGAAACAAGATGGCTACATTTACTTGAGTTATTTTAATATAACTAAAATAACTTTCGCAGATGTAGCCATCTTGTTTCAGCCTCTGATTTAGCTTTTTTCCAACTTGGTAACTGAAACGCTGGTAACTCGAGTGTGACGTCATTTTCAGCTCGGACTTCTGACTTCCAAGGTGACTCGAACGTAACTTGTTGTTAGCTATACCAGTTGTAAACAACGCATAACACAATATTTTACTCTCACAATAACCATAGCACTGTGTTCACAGTTGAATGTTGGGCAGCACAACATAAACCACTTAATTAATTTCACAAAAACAAACAAAAGTGCTGATAAATAATACATTACGAGAGCTTTCACTGTTACTCTTTACTGTTGATGTACTGCGCTGCCATCTTGGATTATGAAGTTGTCAAGTCGGGGTTGGTGAGGATCGTCTGATTTTCAGAGTCAGAAATCTGATGAATTCCAGATAAAGTTCTGACTCAGAGCTCGGAAATTCCGACTTCTGAGTACGACTGTATCGCAGCATTAGATCACGTAACATCATTTTAAGACTCCCTGTGTTTTCTTAGATCAAAGACATGAGTAACTACCTGACGGTGCCGGCTGCTCCTCCAGACTCCCCGACCATGTGCAGAGCCAGACTGGCCTCAGGTAAACACATCCATCTCAGCTCACCCCAAATGCAAACACTCGACTATTCCACTTCCACTATTTTTACACGGCAGGATAAAACTCACCCCGTCGCTAATAGCACCCACAGGGATCAGACACCGACACTGTCACAGCACATCACTCCTGCAGCGACAGATATTTCCCCCCCACCTCTGATGGAAATATGTCTGCACGTGACGGCCGGCATGTAAACAAGTGTGTGGTTTTTATTTTAGGCAAAGATACTGATTTCAAACCTGCTCAGCAGCAGAAAGGGAGCAAAGTCTGCCCAGGTATGTGGCGAGTGTAGCAGGGGTTCCTTTTGAGCTGTGATAACCCAGCAGAGCCTAACATGCATGGATCAATCATTTTTGCTTGTTAACATTCATTAACTGATCATCACTAATGAGGGACTCATGATTGCAAGAAGAAAGTCAGATGATTTAGAGCCGCTAACTTTTTGCTGTTTAGAGTCCAGCATGATATATTTTTGATATTTCAGCTTGTGTTCCCAGGTGTTACTGAATTGAGTTTTGTTTTTATAGCATGTGTTGCATTGTGATGTACTTTGCATATTTATTGTTGTGTTGTGAAAAACTGTATTTCAAAGTGTTTTGGAGCCTCCTGTGGTTGAGTCTTCTCAGTGGTTGCAGTCTTCCCCCCGTTATGTTCACGCACCTTGCAAGAATGACAGAATTTTTACAGCCATGCTCATGCTAACTACCTGATATCGCACCCTTGTCCTGCCTGTAGACCCCCAAGCCTACAGCATGAAGCAGGGCTCCGATGGTGTGCCGACTATCCACGTAGACCTGGCCTCCCCTCAGTCTCCAGACTCGGTCAACCTGATGGATGAGTTCAGACAGGCCAGCCAGCAGCAAGAGAAGGACGAGGACCAGGGCCTGATGATGAAGCCTCCCTCCAGGCCCACCGGACGTAGAAAGCCCGGTGAGACAGACGCAGACAAAGACCAGCAGAAGCTGATGAGGTGCCTGAGCGACCCCGGTCCCAGTGCAGAGGAGGACGAGGACGAGGACGAGCCCTTCCTGCCTTGATTTGCAGGAGATGGAGGGGGTCAGACTGACTGCATGCCCGCCATCAACTGGTCAGAGGGGCTGCGTCACAGCTCTGCTCAAAATAATCTCCGTGGTTCAGAAACCAAACAAGCCAAAACTGCTGATGCTGTACAAACCTGAAGGAGAAAGGCGAGTGAGAGTAAATCAAAAGAGCCATTCGTTTATTATTGTCATCGCTCTTTATTTTTTCAGACAGGAATGAAACAGCAGCTGCTGCTACCGGAGACGGTTCGATAGTCTGAGACATTCAGGAAAGAACTATGCATTACCAAAGGTTTGGACTGTTTTAGTGTCAGAAAATGTCATTTTTACTTCAGTTTTTCGATCGTTTGTTCTTTCTCAATGATTGCATCGATGATGGTTTTATGTTTGTTTATGATTTTACCTTTTCGTGTCTCCAAAGCCTCACACGCTGAGAAATGCTGGACTTATTGTCCGACGTGAAATCAAAAAGAAACCTTCAGACTAGTTTAGCACTTATTTTAAAGCTGTACGTGAAAATCTTTTCTTCTGTCACTTGAAATTGCTGGATGTTCAATCTTTAAGAGTGTAGCTGTTTTAAGATATTTGGCCTTATTTTATGTCAGACCTTTTTCACTCGGTGCATTTTTTTATCATTTTTGAAAACGTGCTTTAAGTTCAGGGGTTTAAAAAATATCCTCCTCCGCTGTTGCTGCGTCGACGGTTAAGAGCTGGGCGTGTTTAGTGTCTGCGTGAAAGAACCACGGTTCATGGAGACATGAAGAAGGGAGTAACGTGGACGGGTGTGAGTTAAGGAAACCTGGGGACGCAGCACAGATGTATTGATGTCAGTGAAAATGTTTGATCCCCGGTTGATTCACGTTTATGTTTTTAATGTTTTACCTCAACTTCAAAACTCCCTTTAAAACTCACTCTGGTCGGGGTCGAGTTGTTCTCACACAGGTTGTACTGATTAAGTGCCCATCCGACAGTCACTTTTATTGTTTTAAACCTTAACCATGAATACTTTCTGGGTTTTTTTACATATCTTTTCATTGTTTTGTTTCCTTTAAGGCCTTTAAAGAAAGTATTTATATTCCACTTCACTGTCCGTCACACGAGAGACACACAGAGTGAGAGGTAGTTTGTACACTCTGGGCATGTCATGGCAAAAAAAAAAAAAAGTTATTCTATGCAGATCAGAAATGTAAAATATGTAAAATACTGATAGTATCCTATATTTATGAATACCCTTTAAAACCAGAAACTTGTAATCTTGCAAACACGCGACACATCGAAGCGAAACACTGCAGAGGAACTCCAACACGGGCATTACAGTCAACACTCACAGGATGATGGAGGTTTTATTTTGCACATGAAGCCGGACTGAAAATCATCTGCAGGCATGAAAACGTAGTTTAGGGTTTTTCATTCGCTGTACTGTGTAATGTTGTACAGTGTGTAATGATATTCAGTGTTTCTCTTCTTGCACTCACGGCTCCTTAATCGATTGGAAAACAACAGAAAATGTCACCGCTAACGTCGTGATGATTTACTGAATTGATGGTAAACGATCGATACGGTTATTTTTTGTTGTTGAAAGTGCCACCGTCTGAGAACAGATTATTAACACACAAGTATTCTTGAACCCAAGCTATTACCACTCCTCTATATTGTATCTCCCTGCAGGCCAAAGAGCTCCCTCTACTAAGCGTACATAACCATTGAACACAGCCCGTCTCTTAAGTAGGCCGATTGATTCACCGTTCATGTTTCCAAGGCCTGAGTGACCACTGAACCCTTCCTCATCCTCTTCCACCCAGAGATCTCACATTACAGCCGAGATAAACCAGCAAAGTGACCCCACAGGCTCGTTCATCTACGACTCCTCCTCCTTTAAGCAGCTGTAATTGTAAACTGTTGTTCTCCGGGTGTTGTAGAAGAGGTAAGAGGATATTGTCTATGTGCTCACATGCACTCATGCAAACTTGCACCATTTTCAAGAGTGATAAGTCCTCTCTTTTCCTGCTCCACAGTTTTTAAAAGTCGGATCGCAGCCGAGAGAGCTCAGAGGGTCAAACCTTTCAGCATCTCATTCCCCTGTCTGCTCCGAACTGAATTTATAGTCTGAAATGTCAGCGTATATGACATAAAGTTAGAGCTGTACTGAAAATATCATCAAGGACAGGTTTAAGGTGAGGAGGCTTGTTTAAAACCAAGTAGAAAGCAGAACTTTCCCCAATCCTGAAAAAATCCTTGCTGAAGGGATGTTTACATGCTGCAATAAATCTATGATGTTCTTAAATGGACTGTAAATTACACCTACAGAAGCCCAGAGAGAGAGAGAGAGAGAGCGAGAGTTCTCTCCATCTGTGAATGCACACTATTTCATTTATTCTTCCCAGATGCTCACTGATTCACTGATTTGGCTTCTATTAAACTGCAGCTTCTGTCTTTTTCCTTAACCGCCCCGCAGAGACTGATAAGAACATTTCAGAAAGGTTGCAGCTGCATTTTCTGTACACTCTCCTACTTCAGCGCATGTTACTGCGTGAATGCATAAACGTTATTCTTTATACTTAGTGCAGGCGTATTTTTCATGACAGAATTGGCACAAGAGTCGACACAAAAAGCCTCCCATTTCAAATCAGACTTTTTTATTTTCTCACCAGAAAAAAACAAAACAAAACACTATTTTCATATTTATTCTCTTGACACCAAACACGTCAAATGTTTGGCACAGAAAACTTAAATCTGAAGCCATACAGCCTATCGAAGAACCTGCTTTATTGTATATATAGACTGTAATGTCATCTGCATACAGCATGATTTTTGCCTTTCTGTTTGAATGACTCATGACGTGAAAGTTTCGCTCTACAGCTCAGAATTGTTTCAAGTTGTGTGTTGGACTGAATACGTCGACACTGTTGATGCACCAGCATTCACTGCAGCTTTAAGTTCAATTTTCACTGTTTTGCTTTGATACTGATGTGCTTTATCTGTTATTTTGCCTCTACGGAGATTTCTGAGTCCCGTACTCTTCCTATCAAGTGCTTTATCTGCATCATGTGCTTTGCATCACTTTCATGTGCTTTACGGAGGTTTTAAGGCGTCATTGTGGGGTTAAACCATCTCATGTTTACTTTAAACTGCACTCCAAAGACATCTATCACCAAAACTTTAAACTGGGGGATTCAGACTCGAGTAGAGAGAGGCTGAAATTACAGCTACAAACTGTAATCAGAACAGTTTAAGAGCTTTACTCTCAAACTCAGTGCTCTAGAAGTTAGGTTTCATCTATTACAATCAGCTACAAATGTTTGTTTCTCTTCATGTAAGGCCAAACTGGTGTTTTTGCATGTTACTGGATTTTATTTGTGTCGCTAGTTTACATGTTTGTGGTTGTTTCCATTCATTTACTCGTGCAAAAATATGTTTTTAGGACTTACTAATTGAGCAGGATTTAGGTCTGCTACATTTCACAACAAACGTCTTTTTTTCCAAATTTTTTCCAGCTCAAGACCGAACTATAATGAACAGATAATGTGAGGCTTAAGTGATCCCCTTTGAACAAACTTAATAGATGTGAAGCAAAGTTTAAAACAAGGAGGACTTTGTCTAACACCCTTCTGCAGCTTAGTGAGCGATCTGGTGACACATGAGGAGAGGATTTTGTGCTAAAACAGCAGCAGCTGCAGAAAGATGCTCTGCTTAGACAATGTGTAAAAGGAGTAGTGCAATCTTTTTCCACACATCACTCCCACTTAAATTAATCTAAAACTGAAAATAAGAAGAGCCACGATAAACTGAAGGATCAGTTCAACAACCAGGAAAAGGTTGAAAGTGTGTCAATATTGTTTTAAGATTAAAGCTCCTGTAAGGAATTTTCACTTTGAGTCAATTTTGGTGCCCCCCTGTGGACGAAGCAGTCTTCGCTTAACTTTTCCTCAATATTTATTATGACAAAGGATTAAAAATTATCCTTAATCTTGAGTATTTTATGTGGAAAATGTGAAAACAGCTGTTTCTTCAGCTGATTAGCTGACACCTACCCCCGCACACCAGTTTCAGGCATCAAAAAGAAAAGAAAAGTTTCTTTAGTCTTACTGCCGATGGTATTGTTCATTTTTTGATATCATGAAAAGGCATCAACATGAATTTCAGTCTATATCATAAATGTCAAAAAACTCCTCACAGGAGCTTTAACTGAATGAATAAATGAATTAAAATGAAGGGTAGCTTGCAAAGCCTAAAAAAAACCCCAAATTTTCGACACTACAGTATACTTTAAAGAATATTTGTGTTTACTTGATAATGTGCTACAGGAGCTGAAATCTGCAAAAACACTGGCATGTTCCTTTACAGTAAGATTTGACCAGCCTCACTTATGGTCACATCGCAGATAAACGTAAGATAAACACTGTTAGATGACACAGGTAGTAACCACAGTGTAACACACGTAAATCACATATCACTCCCACACTGTCATTACTCCAACACCCGAAGGTGTTCCCCTCCCTCGTTTGCATCTTCATCCTCTAATTTGCCTGATCCTCCTCCTCTGATCCTCCATCCTTTTACTCCACAGTGAGCACTTTATCAAAGCTGTACCTTTATATCATACTCCTACATTAGACAGCAATAAGTGGCTTTAATGCAGTGTACACACGGTGCATGATGATCAGGTGAAAGGGAACAGGAATGTACTTAATGACGGGCCTTATTCACAGGGAGGGGTTGGTGTTTCTGCCATGGTTGATGAATATTTAACGATAATTCTCTCATCATCATCGTAGTCTCTTTTGTTTTTCTTCATGTGTTTGTTGAATTTATGTCTCAGTCAGCTGTTTGCAAATTTGAATTTTGCAATAATTTAATTTGTTATTCTATGTCTACATAAATGGGATTATATATGAGATCAAAAAGTATATATATATGTATTAGAGATTTGTCATCATCAATAATGTAAACCCGAATCTGAGAGATAACAAGTGTGCACTTTCCTCCCGATTCATCCTTAGCTTTCAGCATTCCACTCCTGTAATGACATCCAGTAAAAAAAACTAACAACAGAGATTAAACCACATCAGATATTATATTCCAGATTAAAGATCTACTTTATAGCAAACCTCTGACTGTGTCTCTTTATTTTAAAAAGGTGCTTCTGTTTGCTACATGGATGTTTGATACTGCTGAATTTAGACTCTCAATCTGAAGACACAATGGCATCTTTAGAGGAGGGATTAGTAAAGCAGAACTGGGCTTTACAGCCTATATAAGCAGAATCCCAGGGTGTGTGTCAATACTTACTTTTTAATCAGTAATGAAAGATTAATTCTGCATTTATTTTCTATTTTTTTAACATGTCAAGTCAAAATCCTCTGAAAAATGCTACAGTACTGTTTAATGCAACCTTGTTTTATCATATCTAAGATACGCCTGTAAAACATGAGACAGGACCTACTTAGAATGAAAAGGCTAGTTTATTTTATTAGACTAGAATGCTTTTGTCCTCATGTATCATTTGTGGTCTTACATCTATACTAATGTAACCTGGCTGGCTCGCCACTTATATGGTAGATTTCATAGATGCAAAAGTGCAAAAATGAACCACCTGAGGACAGAATCAAGTTGGCAGCCTTTTGCGGGATTTTATTGCAGCATCAACCACATCTCATGACAAATCAGACGGACAACACAAGCCAAATAATCCCAAAATACCCCTAGAACTGTTTTCCCTTTTAAACACTGTTTGGGCGTTCCATAAGTGGTCTTTACATTCGTGTCTGATAGCCAACGATGTGACTTCTTCTGTAAACGTGTTCTGCCATGTGTGATAAGTTCAGGTTGACATGAACTCTCCTGCATCCTGTTTTGCAACACTTTTTGCCCCCACAATACAAGCCATGAGAGCCCATTATATAGGTCCCTGTGAATACCTGGATGCACTGGATCCCTGTTAGGAGCTGGTGACAGCAGAAATGATGTGAAAAATCAAATGATCTACATATATGATAAAATAAGAGTTTTTGGTACCTGTAAATGAGACATTTTGATGATTTGTCTCCTTATTTCTAAAAATGATGGAGTTGATGTTGGAGTTTTTTTAAACCCTTTTCAATTTTCACCCAAAATATATGTGTATTTAAGTGAGTAAATTTCAAAGACTGAAATGAATACTGATGAAAATAGTTATTTACTGTAAGCATGAACTGTTTGTGAATATTCAGTCCAAATTTTACGTAATTCTGAGCTCGTTTTTCAAAGATAAATTAGATCATTTATATGCTGTCCCTTTCAGAAAGGCTTTGATTTTTGACTTTTATGAATGGGCCACTGTTGGGGTAAACTTCAGATGTGGAACTTTTATCAACGTTTTCAGTGCAGGACATGAACTTGTTTCAGATTTCTTTTAGAGTGGTATTACTGCATTTATAAAAGTCAAAGATCTTAATATTTATTTCCATTTTCCAAGCTACAGCTGCCCTGGATGAGGGACTCTGTTTATGTATTCCACCTCTGTCTCTGTTTAATAAAACCACAATGTCTCCATTTTACCAGCTTGGCCTCCCAGTCATACCCTGGAATGGATTTCCTCCATTTATAACGCTGGCTCATTTTAATCGTTGTTTTTCAGCCGAGCCTCCGAGCGGCCAAGTTCATTTCACATCTGAAGAGTCTAATTTGAGGCTCTAATTACAAGAGTTGCTGTTGGCTGAAAATCCTCTTTATATTTGTATTTACAGGCGTTTAGCTGGTGCTCATCCAGAGGAATTAACTGTATAACAAGCTTAAATTCCCAGATCACCAACATCACAAGCAAACAGCTTAAGTTTGGTTCGTGGGGGACGAGTTTGTCCAATCTCAGAGATCTATGAAATGGATGTGAGACTGAATGTAAATGTCTGAATCAAACAGGGCACAGTACACCTCTGTAACATCTTCCAACAGCAAATTTTACCGGCATTTAAGTGTGGCGTCAGATTAGGACAAAATCTAAATCAAGTTTGGTTTATCTAGCTTAACTTTTGAGTGAAGAACCAAGTTGCAATGTTTAGTTAAAACAAAATTTTTGACTTATCTGATTGATTAAACTCATGATGTATCATTAACGGACTCTTGCTGGACTGTATGTGGAAAGAGAAAAAGTTAATAATGTTGTAACTCTGGTTCATTTTTGTTCTTCACAATTGACTTCATTTGTAAATCACTTAAAAACAACCACAGCTGAACAGAGTGCTGTAAACAAATCGACAAAACAACGCAGACATAAAAATAAAAAAATTAAAACATTGGATGAAATAAAAGCAGATATTAAAAAGTAAAATATAGTTTCAATGTTTTTAAAAACTAATTTAAAAACAATAGAAACAAATAACTAAAAACAAACCATAAAACACCAAAACAGGAGCCGAGTCAATGAATAAAAATTGGTTTTGAGACGAGTTTTAAAAATGGACAGTGTGGGGGCTTGTCTGATTTGGAAGAGTGGCTCGTTTCTTGATTTTGGGGCCGCTACAGAAAAAGATCGATCCCATCTGAGCTTCAGTTTGGACCTCGGTACCTCCAGGAGCAGCTGATCAGCTAGAGTAACTTAAGCACAAAACTTGACCTTAAGATGCTGTAAATTAAACTCCAATTTGTTTCTTTGTTGATTTAATGTCACATCTTCTTATAAAATCATTTTGTCCACCCTGTTTCATCCACATTTATCACAAATCGGAGTCCAGCTGTCACTTTCCTTAATCAATCTGTTACTCTGTGAACATAATTTGACATCTCTAATGGGGGAAGACATGTCTGTAAGTGACTTGGACATCATTGATATTTAAACTGTGAAATAAACACACGATAAACTCATGCCAGATATTTAATAGCCTTCTCCTAATGTTGCACATTTACATGTGGAGAGTGAAATGAGCCTGAAAGCTTTCCAAATGAAGCCATCCATATGTTCTTTTTTTTACTCCTATAAATGACTGCGTCTCATTTGTTTGTCATGATGGAGGCTGTTTGTTTGTTTTTGTCCTGATTGCTCTCTAATGTTGAGAGTGGCGGCCCTCTAACTAAGACGACACTTTCTTTGGTTTTGGCTTATTTAACCAGTCTGACCCTCTGTTACCCTAAAATACACACAGGTACAGATGAGTTAAGGTGGGTTTTCTGCCTGCACTGCACATAAACAGCCAGTAAGTGGCACTGTGTAGCCATAGATTCGCACAGCTCTGCATGCGCCGTCATCCCTGAACCAGCCTCCACTTTCTCTCCTGTGATTTCACTGTGGGAGTGGTGCGTTTAATCAGAGTGCTAGGAGGGAGTCAGGCTTTCTGAGGCCCTTTTCCATCAGCTTAATGGTGTGTTAGCTATTGCATCCACTCTCATTTACATGGCCCATATACCCCCTCTAATGTATGGCTAATTGTTGTGTTTATGCAATAAAAACCCTGAGCCGTTGCATCGCCATTCGCCACATATAAACGTTTTGATTTTTCATCGTCAAATGATGTGCTTTGAAAATATTCCGTTACACAACACAAGAGATGTTTTGATTATGAATCCGGCTGAGATGGGTCACTGGAGGGCCGCCACACCACGTCGGTTTGGCTGTTTGTCTCGTCTATAAAAAGAACAGACAGATATAACATCAGAGAGGCAATAACGCCGGGCGTACTGTTCCACTGATAGTCTGTCTGATTTGAGCTGAATAATTTTCTATCATCATTGTGGAGGGAGATGAGGCTGTGCCAGTTTAGATCCACTTCTTACTTATGAAAAGATCAGGGCCTGTGTCCACTGACAGCATTCTCTGGACTGGAAGCACTCGTGTTTTCAACAAATCAATGAAGCTAGGCAATTTTGTGGGCCATGAAAAATGCTCTTGTAATACTAACTTTGTCAACTACAATGAGAGATCTGAAACTAACTAGACTTATTTTTCCATGAGTTTTTTTTTAGGTTTGTAGCTGCTGCTAACAGCCCAAAAAGTGGCATTAATGGACACAGGCCCTAATGGAAATAAGTGAACATGCAGAACTTAAAGTTGTTGGCCAGCTGATGGTAAGTTCTGCACTTTTGTGGTGTATTTTCATCACAAAGTCTTTTCCTTCTTCTCACTCAAGACAGTTATTGTACTTTTTTAAACATTTGTTTGACAGCCATGATTAAAAGTTGCCTTAAAGATTTAGACTTAATGTAGAAACAAGTGATAACAGAGTTAACACAGCAACCACAGTGCCATTAAGGTCAGGAATGAACTTCTTTGACTTTGTTTTGGTTTCTAAAATCCATTCTAAAGATATCTAAAAACAAACAAGACCTCAGGGGACATGATTGATGATTTATTTATCATTGTTTTTAAAGCATGAAACTGATGCAAGGAGGCAAGTGTCAGCAAAGCAGCTGAAGTGAAAGTCCTGTTTATATAATTTACACATAATATATTCATAGTAAATTATTTGTTTGACTGTCAAAAATCAGCAGGATGAGATTTTCAGTCAGGAAAAACTACTCAAGCTTATGAAGAGCAAAGACTGCTTTGTCCACAGGAGGGCGCCAAAATTGACACAAACCAAAAGTTCTTCACAGGAGCTTTAAATGTCTTAGAGTTTGAACTTTGAGTTTCAACTACAAAAGTGGCTAATCAGACTGGTGAAAACAAGAAATTAGAAACCTGAAAAGCCAGTAGAGGACTATTTCTACGTGTGAGAATCACTTTGCTGGAACAAAAAAGAAACATTAAGTTGGTTACAATTATACGAAGAGATTACTCCTTGAGCTACTTCAGTGTCATGGTGCAAAAACTGTTTTTGCTGCTCAGGTCCAAACTTTCCAAGTAGTTTTACAAATCAGAAAACTTTTGTGTTTTCAATAAGCGCAAGATACTTGAGCTCTAATGAGAGGATTAGCGCTCAGAGAAGAAACTCATCCCATTACAATCACATCCCAATGTTTATGCTCAACTAATAAGTTACATAACGCTCCACATGGCCCCCAATGTTTCCCACAACCCAAGTATGAAGATGGACAGAGATAGATGAGGAGTGAGAGTGAGTACATAACTAGCATTACCAAGCGGGCGCCTCCTGTCACAGATATTTTGTCAAGTTAGACCAACATAACTTTAGAGGGCCTGATAG